CCAAAACCACTAAGAGTACAACTCGGGAATCCATCTAGTGGACCCTTAAATCAAATCCCAACTGAACATAAAATAAGTGGAAATAAAACCTTCCAAACCATGGAATGAAATCCTACGTCGTCGGTAGAGTGAATGATAGTCTCTGCTCAGCACGATCAAGCCTAAAACTAGAACCGTCCGATACCTGAAAAGTATAAGAGTGGGTCAGGCCCATGAACAAGTTCTAATCTAACTGCAATCCATACAGTGACCCGATACGCAGATACATCCTAGATATCTTACAATATCTATCTAGTCCATATATATATATATATATATATATATATATATATATATATATATCCATACTAAGGGACATTCACTGGACTACAAAGGGGGCCTTAACCTGAATAGAAGGCAACATGCAAAAACGCACGCAAAGGTGGGCATGAGTACCTAGACCTAACATGGTACACCTCAACCTATCATAGCCAGCTACGCATCCACTACATATACGCACCTGAACTAACGAGCCTGAGACTCAAGCTCATCTCGTCACCATAATCATATATTTAAAATCCGTCCAAAATCAGAGTATGTCATTCAATTGTTCATTGATCTGACATGCAATTTATAATCCAGTTAATCACTCAACTTATTCAGTTGATATGACTTAACTACTGACAACAGTTAATCCATGTGGTCACTCAATTTACTCAGTTGATTTGACCTAAATATAAGTAGGATTCAATTTTTATAATCCATTCCCTTATTCCAATAGGGTAGGTCTTAGCGTTTTGAGCTAAACCATCCCTAGTATGCCACCGTCCCATACCGGTGCATACAATCCACAACATCCAGATAATTGACAGAATTTAATGTAATAATTCAGCAATCATAATCCACACATAAATCCAGATAATTGACAGAATTAAATATAAGAATTCAGCAATTATAATCCACACATAAATCCAGATAATTCACAGAATTAAATATAAGAATTCAGCAATTATAATCCAACACATAAATCCAGATAATTGACAGATTTTATTATAAGAATTCAGCAATTATGATCCACTACATAATTCCAGATAATTGACATAATTTATTATAAGAATTCAGCAATTATGATCCACTACATAGTTCCAGATAATTGACAGAATTTAATATCATAATTCAGCAATTATGATCCAACACATAATCCCACGTAATTGACAGAATATATTTTAATAATTCTTCAATTAAAATCCAAGAGAAATATAATAAAGTCTAATATGTATAAGACCCTATTATGCCTCCAAAATAAATTTAGAAGTCATACTCCAGTCATCTAAGTTGCTAAAATAAGTTTAAGTAACTAAATACGTTATATCCGTCAACAGTGTGCGACATTGCTTAAAACTTTCACACTGTGAGAACCATTAACATATAGAGATAATTTATGCATGGTGGGTCCTAATATAGCATAATATCATGTTTAGAGTCCATGTTAAAATCCGTTAAATTGTTAAAATAAGATTAAACAATTTAGTCCTTCCTATCCGTTATCAGCATGCAAAGTTGCTTATTTTTATACTGTTTATTCTATTTGCACTACGGATCAAATTATGCAATTAGAGAGTTTAAAATCCCATGAAATTATTTTTAAAATTCTCAGTCCAATCCTTGAAACAATTCAGAATCCCAAACACGTCCAAAACAGTGCCCAAACAGTACCGAAACACGTCTAAACAAGGCCAAACAAGGGAGCCTGCTCTTTAACCAGTAGAGTAGGCTCTATGCACCATGGAGCCGGCTCCTTAGCCCTTGGAGCCGGCTCTGTGAAGAGGGGCGCTGGCTCCCAACCTCCTGGAGCCGGCTCTCTCCCCTTTTGAGAGCACTGTTCCGCTTCCTGCTCCGTTTATGACCATTTGCTTCGTCTTCGGCCATTCCAACTCTTTTTTTCCTCTTTAATACTAAACCTAAGAGTCCTAGTTATACCCAGTAGAATCCCAATGATTTGTTTACAATAGTTGGAATTAATTACAGTAACTTAAACCGCTACCGATTCATTACGCGTTAACACAGAACTTGAACTTCAACTTGCAAACATAGTTACAGATTACATTAAAACATATACAGTCGAGTAATTTAATGTAAACTAAGCATGTAAGATTTAGTTAACATTTAATGAAACCCTAGAGACCATCTAGGTATGCACAGAACACAAGCCAACGGGAAAGAGAAAGAAAAGAACTTGCCTGTGAGGTTTTGGAATCAAAACCATGTCGCCGTCTTCCTAAGCTTTCTAACGACATCCTTTTATTTTCAACTCAACCTTCTACTGCTCAACCTTCCCTCCTCCTAGGTCCGACCTTTGATCCACAACTGAAACCCTCACTGCAATTGCTCTGTTTTTCTCATAATCGCACTATGTTTTCTCTCTATGTCTTTGGTACGTGAATAGGGTTTTTCTAACCCTAGCAGACGTATTGTTCTATATATATATAGGCTTTAGCCAAAACCTAATTCTACTATATTAAGAGACCAAACCCTAGAATCAAATAAAAACTAGTCGGCTATCACATATAGGGTTAACTAAAAGAAATATAAACCCTAACTTAAAACAATAAATGAAAACACATAATTACAATAAAACAGTTAATTCAAATAAGTCATAAATTACATCATTTAACAATTTATTCTAACAATCCAATTAATCAAGCAATTTAATTAAACAAACAATTCAACAATTAATTAAAATAACCACAAATAAACAATTAAACAAATAAAAATATACTTAAATAATTTATTACTATCATTTTAAAATTAGGAGTATTACAGAATGTGATTCAGGCGAAAATTGGAAAGTATGAATGACCCTCTCCTTAAGGTTGCCATTGCCTTTAAGAAAGGACTTTAAACATTCAAGATAGATATCAATTAGAAGCAAATTAATTGAGCAATAAATATACCTGAATCTGCAAACCTTTCTTCATTGAACTTTGGATTGATTACAATGATGAATGAATTATAAACTCTTGATTGAAATGGAAACTAAAGTATTGAATGCTGAAAGATGAATTAAGTACTAAATTGATAGTGATAATTGAACTTGATGAAATAAAAACTAAGTATTAAGTGATATGAATGCTAAAGGCTTAAACTTCAGAAATGGTGTTGGACCCCTTCCTTGTGAGACTTAAGTGAGTATTTATAGAAGCTTTAACCTAGCGTTGTCCCTTTCAAACATTTTTTCTAGAAATTAATTGGTTATAAGTTGAAAACGACATCTCCTAACCATCTTGCTGAGCTGGTCAGGTTGACTGACTTACACATCTCTCTATGGGCAGATACAAATTTGTCTGACATAGTATTTTTGATTAAATGGTGAATCTTCTTTCAAGCTTGATGATTTTGGTCTTCAGGCTATTTTCAGCTCTCTGCACCTGTCATGCTTGGCTTGATCTGTACATTGGTTATGGAATCATCTGATTACTGATAATTCTGACTTTCTTCATCAGATGTAGGTGAGAACCTTCCATCTGTAGTTCTGAATCTCTGGACCTTTGACATGATCAAGTTGTCTTTTTCTATTTCAAGCTTTCTTTAAGTTTCCAGACCTAACGTGTTGGGTTCATGGAACATTGGGATTCACGACTAATCTTCATTTGAATTACACCAAATATTCTTCAAGTGACTATGGCCTGAAGAGATATGAGATCCATCTTAATCTGAGCTTGTCCATCAATTAGGCGTACTCTCGATCATTGGTAGAGAGTTTCGACCCTTATTAGTCGAGAAACTTTCTTAGGTCATAATGACTGAGAGATACATGACTGAGACTCTGGATCATGACCATAGTTGGCTATGGGACCTTGGTTAAGACTCTTGGCACTAAGAAATAATGGCCGAGACTCCTGTTCATAATCATAGTGACTAAGAGTCTTGGTTGAGACTCTAGATCATGACCATAGTGACTGAGAATCTTAATCATGGCCATAGTGACATTGAGAAATAATGGTTGAGACTCCTGATCATGACCATAGTGACTAAGAGTCTTGGTTGAGACTCTGGATTATGACCATAGTGACTGAGAGTTTTGATCATGGCCATAATGACATTGAGAGATAATGACTGAGACTCCTGATTATGACCATAGTGACTGAGAGTCTTAGTTGAAACTCTGGATCATGACCACAGTGATTGAGAGTTTTGATCGTGATTAATTATGAGCTTAATGACCTAAGAATTCCATTCTTCTTAATTCCCAATCTTACTTTTGATCACCGTGATTAAAGAAATTAATCTTTCGCCCCGATGGTCATGGGTTGACCTAAAGTTCAGGCCTCGAGATTTTTGACCACGTGGCATGATTATTTCAGATTATATTTTAGGTGTTAACAGATCTTTATTCTTCGACCCAATTAGTTCTTTTTATTATTATTATTATTATTATTATTAATAATAATAATACACACACCCACATCCACATTCAAGTAGAGGAGATGACAATAGAGCTAAGCTCTTGGCGGTGTCAAGCAACCAAACTTGATTCAGTTGAGCTGGGTTATGGGAGAAAAATCTGCAATTCAAGTTGATTTTAAGATATGATTACTTTTGTCTATGTTAACCCATTACAAGAAAAATAGTTTTTTAGAATACCCTTTTTACCACGGTTTTACAATAACCGTGGTAGAAAGTGTCTTTTACCACGGTTTTTAAAAAAATCGTGATAGAAAGTAATATATTTTACCATAGTTATTGTAAAACCGTAGTAGAAAAACTTTCTACCACGGTTAATAAAAAATCATGGTAGCAATTATACTTTCACCACGGTTATTTTATAACTATGGTAGAAAGTGAATTAATTTCACTTAAATTTATTTAGATTTTTGTAGCACTCCTTTTACCACGGTTAATGAAAAAACGTAGTAGTAAGTTATTCCACCGTGTTCCGGCTCCATAATAGAAAGTGAATTTGGATTAAGTTGAAGCGCGGGTCGTGTTCCCGCTACTTTCTTAAAAATTTTAAGGCAAATCATTTTAGACCAAACACACCATACCACACATGTTAGGGCAAATCATTTCAGCCTCCCAAATCGCCTCCATATCTATTCTCGTTCTCAACTCTGAACTTGCCCTCTCTCTGTCTCTGCAACTGTAAACTACAAAATCTACAAGAATCGGATCAGCCTCCCAAATCGCCTCCAACTCTATTCTCGTTCTCAACTCTGAACTTGCCCTCTCTATGTCTCTGCATCTACAAACTACAAAATCTACAAGAATCAGAACCCATATCGGCATATCATTTTAGATTGTTTAAAAAATTAAAACCCATATCCTTTAGTTTCCATCGCCCGCTGTTCCAGTTTGGGTTCGTTGTTCGAAAGCTTCAGCAATCGACCAAAATTGCGGAACTCTACAGGTAAATTTCTAGGGTTTTTCAGCCTTGTCTCACATGGTGATTGATTAGCAAAAAAATCCTAGCGATATCTGTTTTCTCTCTTTAGGGTTTTTATCTCAGATGGAAGGCGTCGATGATGATTTCGGCGATATATATGTAGACGTTGAAGTTCAAGCAAGTACAGCCATCAATGGCTTCCCAAACCGCACTCAATCATACACAATTTAAGGAGTGGAGGGTTTGATGATGAAGAAGAGGAGGAAGGTTGTGATTTTGCAGCTGCAGAGGGGAATGGTTCGGGTAAGAATCGGAAATGGGTTGATCAATGCCAGTTGGGCGATGGATTGGAACAGTGTTCTAATGGTACTGGTAGCGGTGAGAGGGGAAATCTGGTGAAGGGCGGTTATCATTCACAATACAAGGTAGCGTTATATATATATATATATATATATATATTCGGATATAAGAATTTGTGTTATAGGATCGAACTTGGTGTGAATAAAATTGTGAGAGTTGATCAATAATTTGTGTTCGTTTTAGAAATGAGATTGAATTTGGCAATTTCAATGGGTAGCTGTCGGTATAAGGCCTCCAAGGCTCTACCTTGGAGATCGATACCTTTTATTTTGATGTATGTGCTTTGTTCTTATCAAATGTTTGAATTGGGAGCATTTTTGGATTTAAATGGATGATCTCTTGGGAGGAAGCAGTGTGGTCACATAATTCCTGATTAAGTTTTACTTTGTAACTGGACTCATTTCAAATAATAGAACTCTCAGTTTAGATGATAAAGATAGGTTAATGTCTTTCCTTTTATTTTCTTTTCCCTTTTTTTTTTTTTTTTTTTTTTGAGATTCTTTTATTTTATTATGATATGATGATGACATTTACATATGAGTTCTCTCTATTTCTCTGTAGCAGTAATATAATCATCCTACCTGAAGCAGCTGTTTATTGTTATTTGTAATTAATGATTTTTCTGGGTTTTGTGTTGTGTAGTACTTAAGATATCAGACAGCAGCTTATCCTTGTAATTCAAAAGCCAATGGATCCATGGTTTCAGCTTCCTACTCTTCCACCTTGGCTAGAGGCAATTGGGACAATAATGGGTCCAGTCAACATATGGGCTCAAGCTCAGTAGTAACTCAAAGTGGATACAATTTCTCTCTTCCCTGGTATAGGTAAGTGAATTTGGTTATGATCTTGATTGTACTCAAGCTGGGTTCTTTGGCAAACTAGTTGTTGTTTATGACATGTGATAGATATGTCAAATGTATAATAGAATTAATATTAGTTAGGATAATGTAATAATTCAATAGTTAAAAATGTACTGATGTTAGAAGCATTATCTTTCTTACCACATTTATGAGAAAAAAAAGGATAATGTGTATGGTGAGATGCTGAGAACAAATGCTATATGAGATTTCTGGTTCTCATAAGGGCCACTTTTGGCACTAGCGTAACACTTATTCTGTTCTTGATTCATGTCATTAAAGGTTCTGTATGCTGTTGATTAAGCGGCATCCCATTTTTTCTTGCAGGACTATACTAGATGTAAATATTGCTATGTTCAAACAGAGGCCATGGAGGCATACTGGAACTGATATAACAGATTTTTTTAAATTTTGGGTTCAACGAGGAAAGTTGGAAAAGTTATTGCAACTGTCTGGTAAATGAATATTCTTTTAATTTTACCTTCTAGTAAATTTACATTGCTTGTCCGTAAATACCAAGGTTGGTCTTCTTGGGCATACACGTGTATATTAGCTGGGGTGAGGTTCTACTCCATTTCCAGTTGATTTGTTGTTATGCTGTTGATGCACTCAGCATACAACCAACCTGGTTTACTTTAGTTTACTTTCCTCCCTACTCTTCCTTCTTACCTGATTTTCAATTGCATGGCCTATCAAGTACATCAAAATTTGTAAGTGACGCATTTCTTTTATGATTACGCATTTTTAATGCCTTTTATACTCATGCTCAGGGGGTCACGTGCCTTTAAGTGACCATTTTGTGGTGTATAGGGGGTCACGTGCCTTAAGTGACCATTTTTTTTAAAATTTTTTTTTTAATTAGTGTCCATCAAAATCAACACTTTAGTAGTTTAGTGGGTTTGAATATTTAATAAAGTCAAAGCACTATTTGTTACCTTTTCATATTTGATAGATAAAATTCAGGAGAAAAACATGAAGATAGCACAAGCATAGTACAAAAAATTAATAATTTGTCGTAGACAGAATATTATTCGGGTTTGGATTGAATTGATGAATAAGTTGTAGACAGAGTTGTTACTTTGGTAATAAGACGATTGCAGAAATACAGAATAGGAATGTGAAAGAAAGCTACTTCTTCGGTGTACCTTTGCTGTAATATTGTCCTTTCTTTTAAAGCTCATTTTCAGTAGATCAAGGCCAGTACTCTTATCTTTCAACATCAAATTCCTCAGGAATATACCACTTCAAAGTCTTGCATGATTGCATCATCTGTGAACTTAGGTGAGTAGTTGCTTTTTAAAGCGTTTTAACGATGGGATGATATTGTTATTGCGTTGTGAGAAGGAAACTTGGCCTCCTAGACATGTTTTCCACTGAGATAAAAATCTAGGAAAATAAATAAATGGTTAGTGGAATAGATATAACTTAATTCCTATAAAAAAAAAATTAAAAAAAAGGTACAACACACTGATGCCTCATATGCCCATGTTTATACTTATTACTACTTTGTAGGAAATTAACAATGGTGTTTTAATATGGTAATTTATAGAACTGTGTTTGTTGTAGAATTTTTTTGACTATGTGAAAGTCACTGTTGGTTAGCCACTGCATTAAATAAAATGTTGGAGTGAGGCCAACATGCTCTTGTTTTTCTTTGCAAATTAAGGACCTTGTCTTCATGCATGTCTAAGTTTCATGTGTGTGTGTCTGTGTTTTTTTTTTGAAAGCTAGGTTGTGTGTGTGTGTTTGGTGCTACTTTTTGGACACTCATTTTTAAGATCAGAACAAGGAGCAATAGCGCGCGCACACACAAATATATGTATATATTCCCTCTTCTCCTCCTCCTCCCCCATATATTTTTTGTTTTTCAATTCTCTTAACTCAGGGAAAACAGTGTGTTGGATAAATTATAAATATATATATAACAGTAGCTCATATTATTGAATGCCTCCAATAACTTAAAACAGGAGCTACTATCTTAAATCTTAATGTAATTAATGATACATTCCCGGCCTAGTAGCTAAGACAATGAATGACATTGTCATTTTCCAAAATACAGAACTTCTGTTCCGCGTTATCTCAGGGGTAATTTTCTGTATAAACTGGACACAAGTTGATTCTACTGCCCTTCTAGATATACATTGGAATGAATATATTGCCAAGACTGTCTTTTGTAGCTTCCATCATGAATTCATGACGAGTAATGATAAAAATGGTGCTGATAATTGTTTTGGTGAAACAATCATTTTGGTTAATTGATTTGAGGACCTTTCTTTTCCCAATGCTTATGCAGTTGGATTGCTAGAGGATTTGATGACGAGTCTCGCATTTTAGGCTAGAAAACTGCATTTCTTCAACTTTTCTTCGAGTTCCAATTTAGGGAAAAAAAAAAAAAAAAATTTCTATGTCCATATATTATATATATATATATATCCTTAATTTGTTCTTTTCTTGTTAGGTGCCTTAGCAATCAATTTACTATAGTATCACTTCGTATAAGAATCACGTGAGTATTAATTTCTGCTTCTCTCTCTCTCTCTCTCGCTATATATATATATATATATATATATATATATATATATAACTCTAGCGGGTACCTTCACAGAGAAAGACTACCCCAGCTTTAAATGTTGGCTCAGCATATAAGAAGAAGCAAACATAATACATCCTAAAAAAAAAAAAAAACATTCTTTTGGAAATTGATTGTGTTTATGATTGTTTTGATACTTCTGCAATTGCTTTTTGTCTTGGAGGGGGAACATCAGTGGGGACCGATTGGTTTCAGGTCACTTTCTATTCCTGGTGTTTGTCCCTGAAATGTTGCCTTGTGTATGTTTCTTTCTCTTTAGATTGCATGGTAATAGCTGTGTCTTTATGATATACTGAATGGATGCTTATATTTCTCCACAAATAAAATATTAGACAATAAAAAAAAAAAAAAAAAAAAAAAAAAAAAAACATTCTTTTGGAATTTGATTGTGTTTATGATTGTTTTGATACTTCTGCAATTGCCTTTTGTCTTGGTGTTTGTCCCTGAAATGTTGGCTTGTGTATGTTTCTTTCTCCGACAACCCTGAGGACCCTTGTTTGCTATATTTGTCTCTTTAGATTGTTTGCAAATAATAATTAGGTCAGTTTTGAATGAAAAGGACATAACTTTCTTCGGGATTAAAACCTGAGAGCAGTTTAAGTCACAACCACTCAGACTGTTAATGGATGTAAAAGCCTGAAATTTCTTTACCAATAGAACTTCTGTTATATTTTTCAGATAAATCTGGTTTACTTGTTCATGGTCAACAAGATAACTATGTACAACGATGGGAATTGTCTGAATTTATTTTTTCTGTAAGTTTTTTTGATGATATCTGCATTATTAAAAAAACAAAAAGTTGCAAATTTCATCAAACTGCCCAGAGGAGGCTTATACAGCATAGTGTAGTTACACAGCCTAAACTCAAGGACAGTGAAGCCTGTTTCTAAAATCAATCAAGAAATATGCAACTTGCTTTCTGTTTCCTAGAAAATCTTTCATATACATATTGAAAACAATTTGATCATAAATATAATGGGTGGACAATTTGATCAAACTTTGTTTGAAAAGTGGTTTATTTTTATTTGTTGTATCAACTTACTTTACATTAATTCTCTTACTTCAACTATTTTTGTAGGTCAAAGCTAGGATTGCGGGTGCAGTTACTTTTTTTGTTGCCGTTAAATTTTTTGTATGGTTCATGAAGGAGAAGTTACAAGAAGATATGAATAATTTTTGTTTTATTTTGATTAAGTAAAATATATAAGGTGTGGATCATGTACTTCTTTCAAATTTGTATATGGTTAATTTTTGTATAAAACAATGATTTGGAATTGGTTTATGAGTTGTAAATTATTTTGGTTATAATGCTATTTTGTATTTATTTAGGGTTCTGTAAGGCTAGTAGTAGTAGTTTTTTTTTTTTTTTTTTAATTTAAAAAAAGGCCCTCATAAGGTCTGAACTATTATTTTTTAAAAAAAATATATAACACTTTCTATCACGGTTATGCACCGTGGTAGAAAGTCTATTTTTCTATCACGGTTTTGCACTGTGGTAGAAAAAAAAACACTTTATACCACGGTGCATAACCATGGTAGAAAAACGACTTTCTACCACGGTTGAAAACCGTGGTAGAAAAGTACACTTTCTACCATGGTGGAGAACCGTGGTAGAAAGTCGACTTTCTACCACGGCTGTTGTTATCACGGTTCAAAACTGTGGTAGAAAGACTTTTCCACTGTGGTGAAAAGTTATTTTTGTTGTAGTGACCTCTGATAAATATGAAACTGTTTTAAACCCTTTTTTCCAGGTTAATGCATTCAGAGAAAGGAGAGCCCTTGCATTATCTCTCAATGATACAAAGACGGCTGTAAACAAACTTCATCATATGTTGAACGTCATTGTAGGGGATCATCATATTGGTTATCTGGCTTCCTATACTAAAAGTCGCAAAAACCAGTTCTTTATCTTTTTAAGCTCACTTCTTTTAGTGGTGTTTATGTTTGGAAACACATGCAAGACAGATATTTGAGGCAATCATCTTCTTATTTGTAATGCACCCATTTGATGTAGTTGTGAAGTGGAAGGAGTTCAGGTAAATGATATCTTACATAAAGTTGTGATTAGTAAGTCGCTTTCTATTGGATTTTTTTAAGTTTCTAACCAAAAGATCATATATCCAAATAGTGTGCTAGCTACAAACCCTATCAGTAATTACTATCGTAGTCCAGATATGGGAGATGCAATTGATTTCTGTATCCACATCTCAACTCCTCTGGAAAAGATTGCTATGATGAAAGAGAATATAATGCGGTATGTATGGAGATGTGTCTCTTTTCTCAATGACTTTTTCCTCCTTTCTTCAATTTTTGCGGCAACGTCAAAACGGTTTTGTACGTCTTATAGTGATGATAATTGTGCCATTGAGTATTGGTGGAACAACTCAACAATCTTATTAAGTTAACCCAAATTTTGCTCTCTTTGAATTTAGCCTAAATCACACCTTCCAGACTATAATTAAACATCAAGAGTCAGGAGACATAATGGTTGTTCATAAGAATCATAACATATTGATATAGTGTTAAAAAAAAAAAAAATTCTATACTTCAAAGAATAATGTATAGTAAGAAAAAGAAAATCTCTCTAAATTATTGACAAATTCATATGTTTCATTACACAGAAATAATCTATGTTCCCGTATAATTGAAAGATGACCTTCCAGAAACATTATCTCTTCTCTCTCTCTCTCTCTCTCTCTCTATATATATATATATATATATATATTTTTTTTTCAAGTTTCTCTAAAAATGCTAACAAGAAAGGTGACTTCTAGAAATATTATGTTTTTTTAAAAATATATATATTTTGGTCTTTTCTAAAAAGACATATTTGTCAAAATAATTTGTGTTTGCTTAGATGTCTTTCTTTTTCTCTGAGATTATATTTGTTGTGAATAGACAAATTTTAAAACTTAAATATCAATCACTTAAAAGGCATATAATCTTTCAATAATTAATTTTAAAATATATTATATATATATTTCCAGTATCATATGACACGATGTAGAAGTGAGAACTGGGAAGTGCACGACTCCTCAATCCCTTGTAACATATTATTTAAATAAAAATGTATTTTTATTTATAACAAAATGATATGACATTGATCCCAATGAACGAAAACATTTCTACTCAAAAGTTGTGTATGTATATTTTGCTTATCTAAAGGCAAAAATTGATGTTTGTGGGATATCTGGATCTTCAATGGCTAAAAAAATTAATACCATCATCCTCTTCGCCATTCTTGCTTTATTTTCGTAAGGGATACTTGTCCTTAAATATAATTTGTATTTTTTTTACCTACGCACTTATAGGTCTCAGTTATATGTGTCCAAATCATCCAACACTATCATTTTTTATTTTTTGTTATTAATAGGTGTCACTCATAATTTTTTCTCTTACAATTTCATTAATAATAACCATATCCATTCAAACCACTTCAACAATTCACCTAACATTCTTAATTCCCCGTAATATATATATGCGTTATTTTTTATTTTTAAGTCCAACATTCCACTCCTAGCATGTCAATGCTGCTCAGGAGTGCAACTCGATTAGGTTGGACATGTTGGGGTTAACTCTTATAATATTCCTATAAGAGGCTCTCAAGTTTCACGCTCAAATTAGCGTTTGTTATTAAATTCATTATTAATATGTGAATTCAATTTTGTCAATTCTTTTATTCCATTTGTAAAAGAAAATGATTCTTGCACTGAATAGGTGAAGTGAATTGCTAGATTTACCCTTTTAAATGGTTAATTATGCAATAAATAAGGAAGTGAACCCCTCCACTTAGTTGTATTTGATATAAATAACCAATTAAAAATTATTCAACTAGGCAATTCATTACAAGTGTTGGGTGAGTATCACTACTCATTTATAAATTATAAAACTTATTAGGATTTTTTGTTTCTTAAATAACAGGCATTATAGATAACAAAGAACTAAAATAAACCTCTTCAAAAAGTATCAAGTATAAAGTTCGATTCCTCTTGAATACAAATAGTTCTTTTAGGGGAGGAGTCGAGTATCAACGAAAAAAACAAAACAATGAAATAAAATGTTCCAAATACTAAATAAAAACCAATTATTTTGGTGCACATCTAAGAATGAACTTATAATATTAAGAAGGACGAATTGCAAAAAAACTCTTTGGCTATTACCCATTTGTAAGAAACTCTTTTGTGAATGTTTTTGGCAAGAAACCTCTCTCAACTACGAGGAGGGTGTGATTTAACTTACCCCTGTTTAACAATCTTATGAGGTAATTTTTTCTGACCAAATTACCCCTTGGGTCACATGCTTTATTTGGGTCTTCTCCATTAATTAATTAATTAATATATATATATATATATATATATATATATATATGGACTTTGAACTGGTTGAAACTTGAAAGTATCTATATGAACAGATTTAAGGTTTTTTTTTTTTTTTTTTTTTTCTCTTTTTTCCAGGAAGTTATTGCTTTTCAAAACAATTTGCTCTTATGGTTTGTTTATTTATTTTTGTTGGTCATGAATTAAGGAAAAAGGCAAAAGAAAAGAGGTTATCATGTTCTTTATATGATGCTAGTACTCTGTTTGTGGAGATTGTTCTTGGGAGTAGATGCATAAGCTCGGTGTCTAGCTTATGTACTGGAAAGTGGTACTCTATACTTTTAGTGGAGACGTCTTTGAAGCATTTGTATGAGGTGCAGTTATTAAATAATCATCAACATCATTTAATTCCTGCTAAAAACTAACGAAGTAATGATGTTGAACAATAAAAGCATCTCCAGGTTCTACTCATTGAACAATAAAAGCATCTCCAGGTTCTACTCATTGAACAATAAAGCAGTTGGGGTGTGTTGGTTTATAAAAATAAATTTTACAATTTTTAGAAATAATCTGTTATTTTTTTTTAGGTTAAGGGCAAGCAGAATCCAAGTTTCTCCATCGAAACTGATTGTTGAACCATGACAATGCTTCTGCATTACATGCAATTAACGTTATGAACTCAACAACAAGTGTATAAAACAAGTGTAGGAGGTTGATAGCGCTTTCTCACATATGCAACTCTTCTCAGTTTTGTATTTATACAATTTAAATGATTTTGTCAAATCCTTAAACTGCAGAGCCAGAGAGACCTTCAAAGAAGAGGGACAGAAGAAATGATGCCCGTGAGTCTTCGAGGAAGCGACATCGCAGCCAGAGCGGAAGTGAGTTCCCACATCGCAAGTCATCAAGCAGAGATAGTGATAGGGAAACTGACCCGAAAGGTAATTTGGTCAGAAAAAATTATCTCACAAGATTGTTAAACGGAGATAAGTTAAATCACCCCCTCCTCGTAATTGAGGGAGTTTCTTGCCAAAAACATTTATAAGAGGGGTTTCTTACTAATGAGTAATAGTCAAGGAGAGTTTTTACAATTCGCCCTATTAAGAAAGAAATGTGTTTCTGTAACCTGTTTTGTGCATATATATAAATAAATATTTCTATTATTTGCTTGATGGATGTATTAATTATAAGGGAGATTCAAATAAGTTCTTAAAATAATATGGTAGTCTAAAGTGTCAAGTGCATGTGTATATATTTTTGCAAATAGATTGTATAGACACTTGTTAGTTAAGTCGTTTAATTAATTAATTAATTAAAAATTTGAGCTTTTTTTTTTTTTTTTTTTTTCAAATTCAAGATGTGTGTGTGTATATATATATATATATATATATGTTTTTTCTATATTGTGTATTCTTCCCAGTTGTTCCCTCCCACTTGAACAGCATCTTGCAAGATCAAACATTTTGAATTACAATTAAGATACGGACAGCCGTGTGCCAAACTCCGTACCAGGCTTACTAGCTCATTAAACACACCACTTTTTGGTAGGTAGCTCAAATACATTGCACTCAGTGGACTAGGTTTACTTTTAATTCATCTTTCAGTACAATCTTTTCTCTTGTGAATTTTTTTTAAAAAAAAAAGTACAATATTTTCTCTAATTTTTTTTTTCACATGAATTAATACATTTTATTGGAGGACATTACTCAGTGACAAAATTAGAAGAGTGCCAAATTCTCAAAGCCGTGTCCATGTTTGAGTCTTCCTTTTTTTTCTAATTTGTCAGAGAAGAAGAAGAAGAAGAAGAACCAAAAAAACAAAAAAAACAAAAAACTTAATTGGACAAAACTTCTTTTAAAGTTGAGGCTTTGATGTTATTAGTTCAGTTCTTTTGAAGTTGGGCTTAGTCATATGCATTTTGTTATACCACATCGGAAGCTTACAAGAGTGAGCCCGGTGTGAAACTTCTATATAATGCATGGAAAGCTAATAGAGCAACATGGGCGGAATAAATGGGTGATCTTTATTGCACTTTAGAAGGGGGTGTCCGTATAAGATTTATACAAGTGGTGGAGCTACCCAATGTATGATCCAAAGTTTTTACTGGGCCCAAAATATTTTTTTGGAGATGGGCTATCCAGATTTTAAGGTCCAAAGCTTTTAAAATTTTATTATTCTATTGCTTTTCAAATCTGAGGCCTACAAAAGAATTGATTTATGCATAGTGTTTTGATACTTCCAGTTTGAATGATGGGAGATGATAACATTACCTTCTTCTTCTTCTTCTCTTTCATTACACTTACTCTCCTACTTTTGCTTAAATTCCAGGAACTTGACACACAAAAGAAAACATTTTTCACTTCTACACTACAATTTCATCATTTCAAGAAGATTACGCAATGCTTTTCTCTCTCAACACTGTCTTCAATTCCACTCGGCCTCATATACAGAACCAATTGTTGGACCTCTTTTTTTAGCTATATCATCTTGTTCTTCCCTCAGTTTTTGCCGGATACTTCATGCCCGAGTAATCAAATCCTTGAATTATAGTGATGGGTTCATTGGTGACCGTTTGGTGTCTGTATACGTTAAGTTTGGGAGTTTGGACGATGCACAGAGCTTGTTTGATGAAATGCCTAGTAAGGATTTGGTCTCTTGGAATTCTTTGATTTCGGGGTTTTCGCGAAGAGGGGTTGTGGGTAAGAGCTTGATTGCGTTATGTAGGATGAGATCAGTGATGGGTATGCAGCCCAATGAGGTGACCTTCATATCAATCATTTCAGCTTGTACTGAAAAGGGTGCTCTAGATGAAGGGAATTACATTCATGGATTGGCTGTGAAAATGGGTTTTTTGTTGGAAATTAAGGTTGTTAATGCTCTGATTAACATGTATGGAAAATCTGGTTATTTAAACTTGGCTTGGCGATTGTTTGAGGCAATGCCCACACCGAATTTGGTTTCATGGAATTCAATTGTTGCGATTAATATTCAAAATGGGTTTTCTGATGAAGGAATTGGTCATTTTAAGTTAATGAGAAGGGCTGGTATTAATCCTGATAAAGCCACTTTGGTGACCTTGCTTCAGGGTTGTGCAGATTTTGGTGTAGGAAAACTAACAGATGCCATTCATGGTTTTGTCATCAGTTGCGGCCTTAATGCAGATATAAGTATTGGGACTGCACTCTTAGGTATATATGCGAAGTCTGGGAGATTATATGCTTCACAAGAGGTTTTTGAAGAGATGAAAAGTCCTGATAGTATTGCTTGGACTGCAATGCTCGCAGCCTATGCGGTGCACGGGCATGGCAGAGATGCAATTGATCTCTTTGATCTCATGATAAAGAAGGGTGTGGAGCCAGATCATGTTACTTTCACTCATTTGTTAAGTGCCTGTAGTCATTCAGGGCTTGTTGCGGAGGCAAAGGCATACTTTAAAATTATGTCCACTGTTTATGGGGTTGAGCCCAGGTTGGATCACTATTCGTGCATGGTTGATCTTTTGGGTCGTGCTGGGCACTTGAAAGATGCCCGTGTGTTGATTGAAAGCATGCCCATGGAGCCGAATTCTGGCGTTTGGGGGGCTCTTCTTAATGCTTGTCGGGTTTATGGTAACATTGAGATTGGAGAGGAAGTTGCAGAAAGATTGTTTGCTCTAGACCCATCAGATGCTAGGAATTATATCATGCTATCAAATATGTACTCTGCTGTTGGTCAGTGGAGGAATGCATCAAATGTGAGAGCCTTAATGAAGGAAAGAGGTCTCCGGAGAAACCCTGGATGCAGTTTTATCGAACATGGGAACAAGATCCATAGCTTTGTTGTGGGTGATCAATCACACCCTGACTCGGAGAAAATATATGTTAAATTGCATGAAGTTATTGAGAAAATTCGGAAGGCCGGATATGTTCCAAAAACAGAATTTGTTCTACATGACGTTGAAGAGGAGGTTAAACAAGATATGATCAATAAGCACAGTGAGAAGTTGGCCATTGCATTTGGTCTTCTGATGATCGAAGCTGGCAGGCCACTAATTATAACTAAGAACCTCAGAATCTGTGGCGATTGTCACAACACTGCAAAGTTTGTATCACTTGTTGAGAAACGTACGATCATCATTAGAGATCCAAAGCGGTTTCATCATTTTGCTGACGGGTCATGCTCTTGTGGAGATTTCTGGTGATCTTCTTCTTCTTCTTATGCTTATTTATCACATACGAATGCATGACCATATTTAGCAATTGCCAAATATATGAAAATATTCATCTTCTTATTGGTTTAGTATTTGTTTTGAAGGCAGTTGAGTCTGAAATAGTAAGGAACTCTTCCTACAGTCGCACAGAAGAGTCATATGCTAGAAGCTAGGATACCAATTTGTATACACCTCCTATGGTCAGTGCCCAATATTTTAAAAAATGAATGCTTGCTAAAACAAGAGACTACCCAAAATAAGAACATAATTAATTTACTGAAGAACTCATAAGAACAGCATGTGGTAAGAACTCTGCTTAGACTCCCTAGTTTATATGATTTAAGAGAGCCATCACTAGTTCACAGTTGAACCAAATTGGGGAAGAGCCAGTACAATTTCTATATTATTATTGGCTGGCATCACAATAACACGCATTGATTCTGGACCCATCTCCTAACATTTCAGTTTACCTTCTGCACACAATTCCCTTCCCCCCATAACCACTTCCACATTCTACACTCAATGACCCTGCATCTCCACCTGCCTCTTTTTTCACCCCGAATTTTGAGACCACACAATCGGTAGCGAACAGATGAGAAGAGGCAAATTTCTCTGCCCCTCCCATGATAGGCATGGCGGATGCCATTTTAACTCTACTTTGATAACTTGGTCTGTAGGTTTGTCCCAAAACTCCATCCACCATCTTGCTCAGTGACTCGAACCTGAAATTCAGCTCCAGATGTGCAAAGCAATCCTCTTCGGTTACATCATAACCATGCACTCTTGATTCCTCTGGAGTAATTGGAACTACGCGTGCTGTGATTTCAAACAACCCTTCCACTTTCACTTTCAACTTCTTGTTAGTCTCAGGTAACCGTTGGATTGTCAGCCCTGTTTCTGGTGACCTCCATGTTTTGTCCTCAGAAGCTGGTACCATGACCTCTTCTCCATCCAACTGAATCAACATGTTCTCAGCATATTCCTGCCACTGGGCTACTTTCTGCGCACCTACATAGAACTGATGGTGCCCAAACAAGATACCAACGGACTGAACCCAAGTGAAATCTCTTCCTTTCTTGCTTCTCTTGCCGATGAAATGAGCATTTATGTGAATCTGAGAATCAGACACCAAACAGAAATCCTTGTCCTTTCTGCCATGAAAGTAGAACATGATCCCGTCACCACCGATAAATCTTGGATCCTGACACACTGCTCCTGGCTTGTCACAATCTGTTTTGGACCCAAAACATAGAATTTTGAATAGAAAAGAAAAAAGAGATTCAAAAGGGTAATATACATATATATATTTGAGAAAAGTATAATTTGAAGATACAAGAAATGCGACAGAAAGAAACTTTATTTTATGGTAAAATGGCTTCTATAGTAGAGTGATGGATCATCTATTTGAACTTGTTATGAATCTCTCTCTCACACAAGCGGGCGCATGAGCGCACAAACATGCATGGTTAAGTAGAAGAAGAATCAAAACAAGAGCAGATTTTAGTAATCTTACCACAATAAGGCTTGCAGAGTCTGCAATCTACCTCACACAGACTAGGACAACCAGCTGGGCAATTATGAGAGATGCCATAGCAACTCCCAAACATAGGGTCATGGCAAGCAGCTTTAGCAGCACTGACATGAAAAGGGATGAAACTGGAGCAGAATATGCCAAAGAGAATCCATCTTCCTCCCATTTCTTCTTCTTCTACTTCTTGATGTCAGTGTCCTCTTGTCTCCGCTCTTATGTCACTGCAACTCCAAATAATTTAATGAAAAATAATAGAACTAATTGGGTTATGAATACATTAATCTTTTTTTTTTACTTGGGTTTGTAACAACTATGGAGTAAGACAACCAAGTTAGGTGCTTGGTTGCTCTACAAAGTATAAAAATATGAACAAGGTCAACCCCTTGTTTTCGGTGTAGTTGAGAATCACAGGTTCAAGCAACCATTCAAATCTGGTTTTTACCAAGATATAGATTAGTGTGTCCCTTCTCTAGTGTAGTTTTCTCGTCATAAAGAAATAATGAAGATCTAGAATTTTGAACAGAAAATAGGGAAAATTAAATCAAAGCATGTGTGCAAGAGCTATGTGCATGGCCTGAGCATTTAAAGGAAACAAGTTATTTGTTAGGATGGTGGAATTAGGCAGATGGCTTTGACAAAAATAGTGTGTCTCGCATATTCGAGACGTTAAAAGGAAAGATTGAAGACAAACCTAACAATTGATATAATTTTATACAATAGTACTATTGAAAAATTATTCAATCTACATTCATCTAAATGCAATTTAATTTAGCTTCCATCAAACAAAAAAGCTACTTTGATTGAGATTTGGCTTGCAACTTGATTTCATCACTTATAGCAGTCCTGATTGATTGAAAATCCAAAGATTAGAATCATTTTGATTCCAAGATTCCATAAGCCAAATATCAAGTCTCAAACCCTTAATTCAGACACTACTCAATGACTTAGTTGGTAGAGTGCTATTAGCTTAGTTGGTAGAGCACCCAGCTACCCGAATGAGTGTGTCTGTGTTCGAATCCCCCTCCCCCTAGTTTGCTAGGATTTAAAAAAAGAAACTCAATTCAAATTATAAAATGAGTAGTATAATCTTAATTAGTTAATTCCACACCTATTTTGACTTGAATATTCCATAGAAAGGGGGATGTATTACAATGAGATGGCTAAGAAATCCTTTTATTATATGGATTATGGTTAGGCAGATTTAGGCCCAATCATACCCTACTTGTAGTTGGTGAGTGAAAGCATGCTGTGTCTGTCGAGTATCAATCCATACATAGGTAAAATATGGGGCCCAACAAAGTATTCAAGGCTACAGGTCGAACTTGTTTTGGGTCCGTTCTGGTCCATGGTTTGGACAGTTATTGGGTTCAACTTGGACCTTGAGCCCACACAACACTAAGCCGGGCTTGATCAATCATGCTTCACATAAATCCTTTTAATCACAAATGTTCAACACCTAATCCATTCCTATCAAAATGGAGAAAAAATTATATGGATGATTTTTATTTGGGTAAATTTTACTTACCTCCTCCTCCAACGTTTGTTAGTATTTCATATAATTTTTTTTTTTTTTATATTTCATAATTCTACTTAACTCTCCTATAATGTGTTATTTTACGGTTTCATTTATGGAATATTTGCTGTCATTTTTTGGTAAGGAAAAAATAAGTGAGATTATGAAATGTATAAAATGTTTAGGGTTAATTACAATGACACTTCCTGAAGTTTGTCATAATAATAATTATATACAAGTTGGACATTTTTTGTACAATGACACCTCCTTAAATTTAATAAAGTTAACAAGACGCCCCAACTATCACCTGCCACCTCTGACACTAAAGGAATTGACATTGTTGCCCTTTTGACTTATCAATTAATCAATTTAAATAATAAAATTACCCTTCTAACCTTGTATAAGAAAAATTTTAAAAATAAAAAAACAAACCCAAAAATTTCCTTCTCTACAATACCATCCATTACCACCACCTCGATCATCTAAATCAACCTCTACTGCAGTGAATGTCTCACCCACCATCACCACCACCACTTCACTATTCAAAACCCAAATGTTCAACACACACACACACACACACACACACATCAATTTCAATATATATATATATATATATATATATATACACCTCTAAGGTCCTAGCATGACTTCGTCGGTTGCTATGGCGGAGGCGAAGGTGGCGTCGACCCCACCACAACCTTTACCCCAAGCACGAGAATGATCCAAAATAAGAAGAATGTGGTCATCACAGGGATGGGCCTCGTCTCCCTCTTCGGCAATGACGACGCCCAATTTGATGCGTCCAAATTCCCCACTCGATTCGGCGGCCAAAACCGAGGGTTCAACGACACGAATTTTTTGGTGGCGGCGGCGGCCAGATCCGAGGGTTCAACAATGACGGATTTTTTTGTGGTGGCGGCGATAACAGTGGTGTATTTAGGGGTGGAGAGGTCTCAGGATTTGGTGGTGGGTTTGATAGAGGGGGAGTGGGTTGGGTTTGTTAGGGTTAAGGTTTTTTGATGGAGAAGGTGAGAAGTTAAAGAGAGAGTGGTGACTATACTGACGACATACCAAGGGCAAAAACGTCATTTAGGAGTTTTGATTATTTTTTAATTTAAATTAATAAAATATTGAAGGGCAATCTTGACTTTTCACACCTTTTTAGGGTTTGTTTGGATTCAATTTCGGACAGGGGTTGTTATTGTTTAAAAAATGCCTAACTTGTATATGATTGTCATTATGACAAATCTAAAGAGGTATCATTGTAATTAACCTAAATGTTTATATGAATTCACAAACCTCACAAAAAATAAGTAAAATTTATCTATTTTATTTTATCCCTTTGATATATGGAGATATATGTTTGGATGGGATAATACCATTCTTTAATAATGTTATTTATTAGAATTATACTAGTAGTATTATTTATATATGGTTGCTCCTAGTAGCCTCGTACAGTGTAATAGGCACATTCGACTCTTTATTGCCCCGTATTACACCTTACACAGAGTCTAGGGATCTGATGATGATGATTATAGTAATTTGTAACATTAAAGCCAGAATAAGTAAAATTTATCCATTTTATTTTAAAGAGTGAACTACATTAAACCCCTCTTTTCTATCTGTGTTTTTCACTAAATCCCTATTTTTTTTTTTGTCAAAAAACCCCCCTCAACTATCACTAAATCCCTATTTTTTTTTTTTTTTTTTGTCAAAAAACCCCCCTCAACTATTAGAGGGGGTGATTTAACTAACTTCCGTTAACTAATTATTAGAGGAGATGATTTAATTCTCAAATATATATATATAGCAAATAAATTTCAAGAAAAAAAAAAACCTAGATTTATATTGGCAAAAAAAAAAAAAAAAGGCATTATTTGTCCTTTTAATAAATCTATATAAAATGAAAATTAATAAAAACCAAATAAATGAATGCATAGTATAATTCTCAAAAATATATATATAGCAAATAAATTTCAAGAAAAAAAAAACCTAGATTTATATTAGAAAAAAAATCATTGCAACAACATGTACTTTTCTTCTTGTTCAACTTCTTTTATTTATCTATCATTATAATATTGTATATAATTTATATCATAATATAATGGTATATATAATATGAATCATTAAATATTATTTAAATATATTTTCATTTCCATCTAGTCTTCTAACTAATATAAATCTAATTTTTTTTTGCTTTTTTATTTAGGAAAAAAATCTAGGGTTTTTTTTTTTTTTTTTTTTTTTTTTTTTTCTTCTTAAAATTTATTTGCTATATATATATATTTAAGAATTATATTGTGCATTAATTTATTTGATTTTTATTGATTTTCATTTTATATAGATTTATTAAAGGGATGTTACCAGAAATAATGCCTATTTTTTTTTTTTTTCCAATATAAATCTAGGTTTTTTTTTTCTTAAACTTTATTTGTTATATATATATATATATATATATATATATATGAGAATAAAATCACCCTCCTCTAATAGTTAGTTAATGGAAGTTAGTTAAATCACTCCCCTTTAATAGTTGAGGGGGGTTTTTTGACAAAAAAAATAGAAAAGAGGGGTTTAGTGAAAAATACAAATAGAAAATGGGGGTTTAATGTAGTTCACCTTATATATTTTTGAGAATTATATTATGCATTAATTTATTTGGTTTTTATTGATTTTCATTTTATATAGATTTATTAAAAGGACAAATAATGCCTTTTTTTTTTTTTTTGCCAATATAAATCTTAGGTTTTTGTTTTTCTTGAAATTTATTTGCTATATATATATATATATTTGAGAATTAAATCAGCCCCTCTAATAATTAGTTTACGGAAGTTAGTTAAATCACCCCCTTTTAATAGTTGAGGGGGGATTTTTTGACAAAAAAATAAAAAAGGAGAGTTTAGTGAAAAACACAGATAGAAAAGAAGGGTTTAATGTAGTTCACCCTATTTTAAATGTAATGTTGGATGGGATAATACCATTTTTTAATAATATTATATATTATAATTATAATAGTAGTAGTATTTATATATGGTTGACACACTGAACGGTTTATTATCGTGTATTACACTTCACAGGATCCAGGGATCTGATTATAGTAATTTGTAACATTAAAGTCAGAGTCAGTTCATAAATCTATGTGCTGTAGTAATTTATTTTAGGTTCCCGAATACATTATTAGGTCAGAGATTCAGAAGATCGACCATGGTTTATGTGAAATCCGCTGTATGTTGCTTTCTGGTTCGAGAGAATGGAGACCGGAATTAAAAAACAACAAACAAGTCACTAAAAAATATCATATGCGGGATCAAATTAAAATCAATATGAATATGAAATTTGTAAGGCTGAGTCTCATAGACAGATCAAATCAATATTTATTAAAATAATAATAATGAAGCTTCTTGACACTTCTGCCAAGGTGGGTCCAAGTTGATAAATGGTGGGCCCCACTAAAAGTTGTGTCTATCCACTTGAGAGGCCGCCTGCAATTTTTGATGGTTACGTTCATTAAATATAAAAAAGTTTAGGGTTTCGTTTCGTTATGTTTTATAAATTTGACCCAACAAAATTTGTAAATTAAATTATTTACTTTAATTGAACGCTTAAAAATTAAGTATTTTTTTTTAATTATGATTTGTTAGTTTGACTCAACTTGTAAGGAAGAATATGCAATATACTGCATCTTCCATTTAATTTTTTTTTATATCTTTTTAGAATTTAAACACTCAGAAAACATTCATTTTATGCATTATTTTCTTTTAAAAAAATTAAAATTATCCATTTGAAAGTTTATTTTAGATTATAAATAAATAAATAAAAATTATAGTTTAAGAGTTCATGCTGTTAGTTAGGATCTTTTAGAAAACATTTACTGTATATTTTAAATTGAAACTTAAAGTAATAATCCAAACCACAAAAAAAAAAAAAAAAAAAAAAAAAAAAAAAAGGTTTTAAATTGGATCATAACTTTGAGACAACCTTAATCTATTTCATCCATAACCCTCTTTCTTCGATCTCTAGTGCTTCTACTTGAACCTAGTAACATGAAAATTTTATGCTACCCTAAGATTTCATGTCAGAAATTGAACATTAATTTTTTGACGTGAACTTATAATATTTAAGTATATCTCTATTACCATTAGCAACCTTAGCTATTTAAATTGGAAGTGAACCACTTTGATCGCCACTAAATTAATGTTGAACCACTTTGATCGCTACTAATTAATAAATTTGAGATAAGGGAACGACTTTTATCGTTCACTTCATTAAAATAGAAAACGACTCCACAACTACCTTATGTGGAGTATTTAATATTATTGTTTTAATCGCATCATTACTTAATTGGCGGGTAACAATTGTCAACATGGTGGCCCAAAGTCATGAGTGGTTCACTTCTTAATCGGTGATTGGTGATTGCTTACACGTATAAAGTGTTCTTACCATAATGGTTCAGTTCCTATCACTATCTATGATACAAGTCAGATTCTAGATGCACATAAGAAGGTAGATCTTCTCTCCGTGGTAAAAAATAAAATTATCTAAGGCTAAGTGAAAGTGACAACACGGAGACATAAATCAAGCCAAATTAAGACATACAAATTATGAAGTAAAACAATAAAAATAAAGAAGAGGTTCTAAATTCGTTGAGAAAGAGACACCGCTGTAGAACGAAAATCATCAAAGGAGTAGAGCAACAACTGAACTGACCAAAGATCAAGAATCATCAACGCAACAATTCTAAAACTGCATTCACAAGGTACCTCCACACACCTAACCCCGCACAAGATCAAATCAAGTTAGGAAAATAAAAATCAACCCAGATCATAGATTTAGCCGAAAGGAAAACGACAGATTTACTCTATCGAGCCGGAAACAAACCAAACAAGAGCAGATTTAACCACATAAAACAAAAAATGCCGTGAAAAATCATCCATAAAGCGAACTTATTGAGATACGTTGAGATTATTAACATGTGGGAGATAAGCAAGGTCACCTTCCTATTCCCATAAAAGAGAACAAATAGGAAAGAGACGAGCAGCTGAGAGAGAGAAGAGAGAAGGTAGAGAGAGAACCGAAGAAAAGGTAGAGGCGGCTCAAAGCTTCAAGTAAATACCCTAAAAATACTCTAAAAATATTTCTGTCTCTTCTAATCAAGTTTTCATGTCAAATAAGTCTTTTTGGTTACGTTTTTTTTACTTAAAAGTACAAGCAATAGAAAATGACATAAAATATAAGAAATCAACATTATGTGTGGCCCACGCGATGGACTAGTAAGGCCATTGATGAATTTCTATTCCTTGAAAGGTTTATTGATCTCTTAACATACCTTTCACTCAATTTATTAATTTGTCTTGGATTGAATTATTGATCATGGGACACCTGAACCTCAATGATCCACTGGTGACGAAGGTTCTTTTACTTGATAACTCAAACAACACATTTAAAATTAGATTTGGATAATCATTAAGAAGCTGCCTGCAGTGCATCTTAAAATTGTTCGGGTGCCCACCTAGGAATAAAATAACAAAACAAATAAATAGAGTTTAAAAAGAAAAAAAAATGTAAACCGTAAGATTAGATTAAGTAATTATTAGTGGTACATCATATTTTAGTGAACTGGTCAGTTTGTAACAAAATTAAACTTTGTTCATTGAGACTCACCAATTACAAATTTTAAAATTATAAATTAATCAATGAGTGATTGTGATAATTAATTCTGTTACAATATCTATTCCATGACATCGAATTTGCATTGACTATCAATCATGATACTAAATATTACCTACTTTATTGTGTGAGACTGTGTGACACTCTGCGTAAGGTTAAATGAAAGTATGAACATTGCTCAGACAAACTATTTTTCAAATATGTAGTAGGATAAATGAGAATAAAAATATTTAAATAGAATTTTTTTTTTTGTTTTGTTTTTTTGAAGGGTTATTTAAATAGAAATATTGCCCTCATATTTCTTAATTATTATTATTTTTTTTACAAAAAGAGAAAAATAATACAAATTATTCAAAAACACTCTCACACTATTAATGATCTGTAATTTTATTTTATTTTTTAAAAAGACAATATGAAGACTGCACAAATTTGAGGTGTAACATTTTATGTATTATCATAAATTTTTAGAATAATGATTTAAGGATTTAATTTAATTTATGTAAATGTGATGGTTTCACCGTATAATATCATCATCAGGGACAAAACCAAAATTTGGGCTCAGAAGGGGCTACAAGCCACACTACTCTTGGCTCGTATATCCACCTATATATACAAAGGATAATAACAAAACTCACGATAGCATTTTGTGATACTACAGAAGATATATATATATATATATATGGTATTTTATGCTATTAATTATAAAAAAGTATATAAAGCTGCCGTGAGATTAGGTACCTCGATCATCACGACGACATAATGTGATGAGACTAATCAATCATCTCATGTCAATTAAATTCGATAATCACTAAATTTGATCCAAAATCACTTCTCTAACTTTTTATGGAAGAAATATAAAGTTCAAAAAACACGAAAATCAAAATACAGATGCAAGAATCACTCAATCACACGAGAGAGTTGGAAACAGTTTGGGACCATCCGATACGCGATGAGAGACACACAGATGGGACCAAATCCAAAATGACCCCATACGGCGGCCGGTGAAATGAGCTACACTGTAGTTCAGAGTCAGAATACTACCAGTGTGTATACATATACATACTGGATTGTATCTCACTCCAAGTAAAGGAAGATGCTTGAGAATATACCCTTAAACCGCTCACTTTGTCCAATTCAATCTGTCTATCTATCCCATTCCACTTTCAATGCCCAAAACGGATAAGATACCCATATTACCCATCCTCACTTACTCCCCACAACGCTATTTAAACACCATCCCGCCTTTACTCAACCTACCCACCATTATTTCATACCACTCGCCACTACATAACCACCATGAAATCTTCTTCTTCTTCAATTCTCTCTGAATCTGAACAAGAACAACTCATACACAAACTACAAATCTTCAAGATCCATGGCAGAGATAAGCGTGGCCACAAGCTTCTTCTCGTCACCGGAAAACTCTTCCCTGGTAATCTCTCTCTCTATCTCTCTTTTCCAATAAGAGGACTAGTCGGAAGAGAGTGTATGATGTACAGAGTCTGATCAGAAATAGGCTATTTTCAGTTTGGAACTTATGACCTTGGGGTCACAATAATAATAATAATATATTATTATTATTATTATTTATATCCGGAGGTTTTGTTTGTTGATTGTGTTGGTATGTTGTGATTTTTGTTGATCAGCGAGACTGGTGACGGTCCAAGTGTTGAACAAGTATTTGGAGGAGAAGGTATTGCCTAAATTTGGAGACGAGCCTTTCTCTTTGGTGTATCTGCACGCAGGTGTTAAAAAATGCGAGAATTTTCCTGGAATCTCGGCCCTCCGATCAATCTATGAGGCCATTCCGATCAACGTCAAGGATCAGATTCAAGCGGTTTATTTCCTACACCCGGATTTACAGTCCCGACTCTTCCTCGCCACCTTCGGTCGTCTCCTTTTCAGCGGAGGGTAAATTTCTTTTTCTTTTTTTTTTTTTCATATCCCACGACATAGCGAGCATTAAATTGATGTCTTGGTATTAAAATTAGGAAAATAAATAAATAAATAAATTTAATTAGTAAATTAGTGAACCGGAAATAGCTGAGATCAACTTAAAAATAATATTGTTTCTGCCCTTTCCATTTTCTTAGCCGTGAAAAATTGGAAGCATGGAATTAGTAATTTTTTTTTTTTTTAAAAATAAACAATATTGTGATTCCTAACATAAATTTAGTTTAAATTTAAACATATATTTTTTTTCTTTTAATATTGAATTTTAAGATAATCAGTGTAGTCCACTGGCTTCATTGGAGCAATAAAAGTGGATCGTTGAGCGTATTTCACGTTTTTGACTTGAAGGCTGGTGTGAGTTTCCAGCGGCGCACGTTATTGACGTGGTGGAGGGTGTTAAATGTTTACAGGTTGTACGGGAAACTGAAATACCTGACCAGGTTGGAGTTTCTGTGGGACCACGTGAGGAGGAACGAGATCGAGATACCTGATTTCGTGCATGATCATGATGAAGAGTTGGAGTACCGTCCGATGATGGACTATGGGTTGGAGAGTGATCACCCGAGAGTCTATTGTGCGCCAATGGTGGACTGCCCAGTTCCTACCTACTCTATGCGGTATATTGCGTAGGGAACGCTGTGGGGACTAACTTGCGCCGTGATATTTTCGGATTATAATATTGCGGTGTCTTAAAGTTGGATAGGATTGTCTTTTCCGTTTTTGTTGTGGGAGTTTTTAGGAAGAGTGCTCGTCTTGTAAATATAAAAATATGAGTTGAATGAAAAGACAGTGTATGATAGAGTTTGGTCCTAAAGTGCAAAATCAGAGTGTTTGGTAAAAAAGAAAAGTTAAAGAAAGATAGTCCCGATTGCTTTATTCTCCAATCATCAAAGGTCTCTTTGGCTTTTTTATTTTGGATATCTCCTCTTGTCATTGTCATAATTTTAAAATTTCCAATCAATTTCAGTTGCACTTTTTAACTTAATTCATATACCATACAAAATGGCAACAAATCAATTGGATTCGGTTCGAAACTCTCAATTCAATGTGATCCCGTTGGACTGGTGTTGTCCAAATCACAATCAAAATGTGTTGGTTTTATCAAATTGTATTGAGTTACGAGCTCTGTTAGGGTGCATCATAGCATAGAGGATCTCAATTCCTCAAGTTAGACTTGGTTTACTTCTTCTTGTTTTAGTGCTTGTATTACTTATTAAGAACTTTGGTAAGGACTTGTGTGCCACGACTCAAAAAATAGGAGTCCGAATCGCTAATCACACATGAAAATCACCAATGCATTGGTGGTTTTCATGTATGGTTAGCGGATTTCGATTTTGGATTGTGACAAAAATGGTACCAGAATTTTATCCAATTGAAAGTGTAGTCAACGAGGATGTTGAGTCTCAAGAGGGGTGATAGTGGCAACCTTATGGGCGTGTGTGTGAGTGTGTGCAGGTGGCACTAGTAGGCTATCACACTAGATGAGCTATAGGTGCACAATCCCACATTGCCTGGGTGTGAAAGTGACTAGTGATACACAATGCGTTTAAAGTTGTGATGGCCGTGAACCCATCTTAACTCTATAATTAAGAATGCTTAACCCGCAGTAGTATCAGGATGGGTGAGCCCCTAAGAAGTTGGGGAGAGCAAAAAATGGACAATATTGTGTCTTATCAAGGTGAAAGTTGTTACATTGTGGCTTAGTAATGTTTCATCTATTTTTCAAACTAAAAAGTGAGGGTTCGAATTTTTTTCTTACCAATAAAAAAAAATATAATACTTACTTTACCTTTATAACATGAATAAACTATGAAAATTTCGTGTAATAGTGGAGCAAATCATCAGTCGAAGAGAGCTTCTAGTTGTGTACACCACCGGTCCCTACTAATCCATATGTGTATCTATATATATATATATACACACACACACACACACACACACACACACACACACATACATAAAAGTTGAACTCAACTCATGTTTCATTCACATTGAGATATTAAATATTTTGAAATACCCATTTAAACAAACACTTTGAGGTCAAACTAGTAGGTAACTCTTTCTTGAACTAGATTTAGAAAAAATGCTACTTCAAGAAAAGGTCAGGATATGGAACATTGACCTAAAACCTCCTTGTAATTAATCAGGCTCTACTTGGTAGTGGAACTGGTAGTGAAAGGGTGGATTTAATATGTGGACTAAAAGTAAAACAGTATGAAAACTTAAACATGGTTCCTTTATTCTTTTCTTTTTCCCTAGAATTTTATTAAAAAGAAAGAGTATTGAACCTTGGATTATCATTTTTATAATTTTGTGTAACGAGGATTAATTTTGATCTCTCGTCTAAGTGAGAATTTGTTTGAAGGATTTTATCTATCCATTGGCCTAAGCAGCTCGTCTAACTATTTTTCTCTATCATCTTCTTCAATCTTCATTATGACATCTCGTTGTTATAAACTTATAATCACCAGCATGAGGTGATTAACCATTGCATCAATACGGAGAGAGAAGCAAGCAAGTTCTTTTGCAGCTGGCGTTAGTGAAATGCATTTTATTGTCCCACACCAAAAATTTACATAGTGAGACGGTTGGAGAACTACTATATAATGCATGGAAGGCCAATCAAGCAACATACATACCTGGATGGGATCAATGGGTGATCTAGAAGACCTATGGTTTAGGTTGGTGACCTCCATTGCACCTAGAAAGGGTGCCCACTTAAGGTCTACCTAAGTGGTGGAGTCTACGTCATAATTTATCATAATTTGTAGTAGTGGGTTTTGTGTTCGCGCGGCCCTGCCCAAAATAGATTTTAAGGTCCAAAACGTTATTACTTGAGGCCTTCAAATGTGAAATATACAAAGTTATCTATATCTAAATTTTATTATGATATATGTAACTGATAACACCTTTTTTTTTTCTTTTTTTTTTTCCTTTTCTAGAATTTAATAAAAATAAGAGTATTGCTTGATGAAGTGATCAATTGTAAAAACTCGGGTTTGGACTCGCAACTACAACATAAACTCTAAATATTCACAATCACTTACAAACTACCTTATATCATTTAATAAACTACAACTTAACTTGATACTTCAAAATATTTCAATCAGTTCTCAAGACTACCACTTTGTGCAAAGAATTCAATCAGTTCTCAAGACCACCACTATGTGCAAATAATCTTTAAAGGTTAACGACTATCTAATCCATCCCTCAACATCTTCAATTAACTAGTGAGGGAAAGAAACCGATGTAAAAATAGAAACAGCTTTTGAAACAAAAGAGACTAAGCAGGAACAAGAGGAATCCACCGAAAAAGATCTTATTGGTGACACTTCTAAAATTTGAGAAAATAGTATTTCAATTATATTCCATTCTCGTAAGTCTGAATTGATTAGGGTCTACATGGTTGTGGAATTGGTGGGAATTTGTATTGGAGTATTCAGCTGAGACCAAAGAAGCAATCAGACGGATTTTCCTCTTACTATAAATTTCATTATTGTAGGTAATGTAGAATGATACTCTAATCTTTATTCTCGTTCGATTAATCAATTCTTCAAAAGATATATCGAAGTACGGAGTGAATGATTTGATCAATGAATATTTGATTCTTTCTTCAATTTGAAATTGATTCACAACAATTCTTTAATTTTTCATGTTAGAAAATAAAGATTTGTATCGTCAGTAATCATTTGATATAATATTTCAGTACATATACATATGTATATAGTTTTATCCTTCATCCTTTCTAAAGTTTCAATGAAAAAAGATTTTTTTAACAACACAATTTTTAGTCAACTCCATGTGTTAGAACAGGTTTCATTGAGTCTCTCCACCTATCCCTTTTTTTTTTTTTTTTTTTTTTTTGTGGAGGCTTTGATGTTATTGGTGAAATGCATTTGATTATGATCCCACATCGGAAACTTACAAAAGCAAGACTCAATGTAACTTCTATATAATAAGTCGAAAGCTAAGTATGCAACATACTTATTGACGGGGTCAATGGGTGATCAAGAAGGTCCATGGCCTAGGTTGGTGACCTTTATTGCACTCAGGAGGGGTGCCTAAGGTCTACTCAAGGAGTGGAGAACTCAGGAGGGGTGCCTAAGGTCTACTCAAGGAGTGGAGCCTACGTCATAATTTGTGATAGTGGTAGTGGGGGCTTGTATTGCTCCTGCCCAATATATCATCAAAAGTTTTTGTTTGGCCCAAATTATGTTTTTGGGCTCATAGTTTTTTTTTTTGTTATTGTCTAAACTTTATATGAAATTTTTATTTTTTTTTGAGTTTTGAAAGTCAATAAAATTCACTTCTAATGAGAATATTTAGTAGCCAGTGGGAAAAATATAAATGTCTGCCCCGTGACCAATAGACTTCATTACAAAGGTGGGGCAGATTTAAGGGTGGGCGAATGTGGGCTTAAGCCTATCTCGAAAAAAAAAAAACTTAACCATACTACTTTAAGCCCAGCCCAAAATAAATAAAATAAAATAGTAATAGTAGCCCATCTCAAATTAGCCCAATTCAAAGTTAGCCTACCCCATTCAGAAATCCTGAATCTGTCCTTGATTACAACGTTCATAAACATCTCTTTTACACATTTACACTTGTAAGCATAAAAATGAATTATGTTGTTCCTTTTGAATCATGATTTTAAATCATTTTTCAAACTTATTTGGAACATTCTTTAAGGATTAAGGATTGCAAATTGCATTAAGGATTGGTTGGGTTATTAAATCATTTTTCACTTGTAACAGAGTACATCTCTGCAGCTTTTATATATACAGTAGTAAACAAGCAATGCTATGTAATAAGTAACAAACTCCATCTTTTTGTGATCAGCAACATCAGTCTTTTGATCAAACGGCTAATGTTTTTTCTCAATCTTTTACCACTGACCTCTGAATCTTGACTTGTAAGTGCATGTATATCATGATCTGTGCTTTATATAATATGTTTGTGGTTATTAGTAATTCGTCATTATAGATTAATATTATATTTTTATGCTATATATATCATAACCTATCATCAGTGTATACCCGCATATGATTTAAATTTACATCATGAGTCCATCTCTAAGATGGTCTAATGAAAGATAATATTATTAATTCTAATGATTGGCGGACTCAAATTTTAATTAAAGAAGAGGTCACTTGTAATGTATAAAATTTAATTAAAAAAGTGGCCATTTATAATGTATACGAAGACTGTAAACGAGTAGTAAGTTACTCAGGCTCGTTTGACCTCGGTCTGCTCAAACAAAAAAATTGGCATTGTTAAATAAACGAATTAATTTCAAACATTTCTATACTCAGCTTGTCCAAGAACATATTGGGGAATAGGCTGTTTAGTTATTCATCTTGATGAGCTCCACAAAAATATACTATGTATGTGTGTATATTAGGAATAAATATTCGAGGCCCCATCCAACCCAAATAGCTGTTGCCAGTTGTCACAGTACAGCCTCTGGCTTCATAAAGCAAAACTAGCTCTAAACACCATCAATGGTAAAGAAACTTTCTTTCTAATAAACATCATCAATCTATATGTATCCAACGGCTTATATATATATATATATATATATATATTTCATTTCAATCCCCCCTTCCTATCTTTTCTCACACACTGAGCACCTGTGCATTACCGGTCAAGAACACCTTTGATCCTTTGACTGGTACGTTACTGCTACTTAAGTCTAACACCAACCCACTCAACCACTCAGGGTTGCATTCACTTGAGAGTTAAGGAGCCTCTCTTTAAATACAACATTGCTCTTGTTTTTTATTTTTATTCTAATTTTTTAGGCCATGTTTGATACGGTAGAAATGAAAAAAATATATATATATGTTAATTATGGGCCTTCAAAATTTATTGGCCCATGGATGATGGGCCACCAGAAAAACAAAATATATTTTTAGGGCAATCATATTATCTCATTCTCAACTCTAAGAGCGTTCGGGGCGGCATTATGTTTAGAGTAGAAATGTGTCAGTTAGGAGAGAGAAATGGGCGGTGTGGTGAAAGAAGTGGAGTATATCTCTTGTGGGACCTTCCGCCATTGTCTAAGCTATTGTCCACAGATATAGCTGCCTTTAGAGAATACTCCATTCTTTTTTTCCTTTGTTTAATGAATCTGATTGAAGGCAAAAAAGCAAAAGGCAGCAACGGCTCAATTTACTTCCAAACGTTCCATTAAATTCAAACGGTAATAAACGGTTCTATTTTTAGCTTATAAATACTATATTTCATCTTCAATAATTTTCACCTTCAATAATTCTCTCTCTCAATATTTTTTTTAAAAATTCATCTATATGGATCATCAACCTCCATTCTATAACCCCCATCTCAATCAATCTCATAATTCTGAATTACCACCGCAATCCAATTATAATGTGGATTCTTCAATTTTTTTTCAATCTGAAAATCCATCTCAACCCCAATACTCTTATTTCCCATTCCAACCTACTCAATACCAACCCGTACCACATCTCCAATTCTAACCTTATTACCAATTACAACATTGTCAAAATATTGTTTATTCATCAGCAATATGAAAATTACATTTTATTATACTACAACCGTTGGGAAGAAGACAAAAAATTATTAAATTCAAATTCAAATTCAAATTTTTTATTTTATTTTTAAATTAAATTAATAAAATAATAATAAAATAATAAATAGAGAATAAGATAATTGGGTTCCACATTATGGAACATATGCATAAAAAAAAGTAGAGTACCATATCATCACTTTTTAGGTTACGTGGCACTTTGCTTTTTAAAAAGTAGATAGATAACTTGTGGTGCCCACACCACTTGCTCTAAACCCCCCCTTTCTCTCTCTCTCTCTCTCTCTCTCTATCTCTGCACCAGCAAACTAGAAAATCTACAAGAATCAGAAGTTCAAAACCCATATATTTCAGTTTATCTATCTGTCTACAAGAATCAAAAGTTGAAAACCTATTACCTATGTCAAAACCCATATCGGCATATCATTTCAGATTGTTCAAAAAATCAAAACCCATATCTTTCAGTTTCCATCGCCCGCTACTCCAGTTTGGGTTCGCCGTTCGCAAGCTTAAGCTTCAGCCGCTGGCCCGCTGTCTCTCAACTCTCTTGCCCCCCTCTCTTTGCAACTGCTAACTTGTATGTATGGGTTTTGTTTAAATTTTTTTTCTAAATCAACTAATCAAGGTCTGTAATTCTTGTTTTGCAGATTAAATCCTAAAATCAAGTGTAATCTTGATTTTGTGTAAGGGTAAATTTGGTATCAGAAATAATACAACAACTCTAACCTTTCCTTTCCTTCCATTTCCTCCCATTTCTGGGAGGATATCAAAAACTGATGTTGCTACCTTGTTGAATCCCTCCGTTTCTCCCTGTTTCCTCTCTTTTCTTTCTCATATTTTACATCAAACACAAAATCTCCTCTCCCTCCATTACCTTTCTTTTCTTTTCCTTCCATTTCTTTCCAACCAAACTGGCCCTTAGAGAGAAACTTTGGAGAGAGAAAGTGTTGAGAGAGAATGAGGCTACTCCTTATTCACATCAATGGCTTCCAAGCCTTCCATTGTAGAGTCTTTGTTCAATGGGTAAGGTCTTCTTTGCCCTGTTCATTAACTATTCTCGTAAATGCTATCCAATTTTTAAAATTTTTATTCTTTGATCTCAGGTAATAAGAAACTTCTCAATCACAAAAAGTAGAAGCTGATTGGAATGGGTAGTGTCGGTAAACAATTTCAGGTACCAATCTTAAAATGCATTTTACTTTTTCTGTTTGCGTCAAATATTAATAATTGTTTTTCTCGCATATTGAAAAATTTTCATATTACATTGATACATTTGTTTTCATTATTATTGTTGAAAAAAATAACACAGGTTACTTTTATTGTTGTTTCTCATGTATTGAAAGTTATTATTACCTTCTTCTTTTTTCCAAAGTAGTTATTATTATCTTTCTTTGACGAAAATTATTTCTTATTCATTAGATGATGACCAAATTTGATTTTTTTAATTTAAATTTTTGTCATACTTGTTAAACATTTCATTACCCTAAATCATATCTTACCCAAGAAATTGTGTGAAGGGGGCAATGGGGGTTTTTATTTATTTATTTTTTTCTTTCTTTCAAGAGATCAACAGTAAAATTTCATTGATATATAATTCAAAAAATGAAAATCACTACTATATAACACCAAAAGAAAAAAAAAAATCAATGAACGGCTGTGCGTTGGCCACCTGATAAACACTCACACTAGCTGTCTATACATATATTTTATTGTATATATGCGTATGCAAAACATGAAATCCGAATGGGTCCCGTGTCACCACTAGTACATTATCGATACACATATATACATAAAATATAAGTTGTGCAATTTAGTTTTTGCCAAAGGGATGTACAATTTTTATATAAGTAATATAAGTCATTGTATATGACAAATATAATAACACATTACACTTTACAAGATGAAATAACAAAAGAGAGTATTGTCAACCGAGTACATAGTTAGTGGGTTTTCCGACTGATAATTTTTTTTTTTAGTATTATATAGTAGTGATTTTTCATTTTTTTGAATTATATATGAATGAAATTTAACTCTTGCTCTCTTGAAATTACAAAAAAAAAAAAAAAAAATCCCTATTGTCCCTTAACACAATTTCTTCTGTAAACATAGGCCATTTATATCGAAATTGTAACGAGACTCCTTATAGGATAGGATAGTGATGATCTAAGTCAGTCGCTTTTTTTATTGGTTGTTTTTGTTTTGTATTAATTACTTATTTTTATTTTTAAAAAATATTTAAAAAATAAGCTTTTAAAGAAAAACTAACCTTTTAAGTCTTTTTATTAGACTTTCTTACCATCCTACCCTCTCCTCCTCCCTCAACTTATACACATACATGTGTATTTGTGTTTATATAAACAATTATTCTTATGGAATTCCTTTTTTTTTTTTTTGGTCAATAGTATCCTTATGTGAATTGTTCCCATCCTTCCTTTCTTTTTTTCAGTGATCCCATTAGTCCTATTTATATGCTTTAAATGACGACTTTAATATTTCGACAATATGACGTGTTATTCTTTAATTGGTATCATTACTACTCTTATTTGTTTCCATAAAATATGTCCATTTTTTTAGTTTTCCATACCCTATTATTTTCTTTTTCGTTTTCACAACAACTTTCATGGTACTCAAATATAAGAATTTGATTTGTACAAAATCTAGAACAAAAACTGCAATGTTTTACAATTTTTCAATGCTCTGCCGTTTTTCTTCTTTAAATTCTTCTTTGTTTTTGTTCCTTAAGTCACATAGATCATTAATTTT